TCCCAGGCTGTCCCCCCGGGTGTCCCCTCCATCCCCAGGGCCATTGGGTGTCCCCAGCACCATCCCCAGTGCCCCCTGTCCCCTCCATCCCCAGGGTCCGGGGGTGTCCCTGACCCTGTCCCCAGTGTCCCCTGTCCCCTCCATCCCCAGGGTCCCAGAGTGTCCCTGACCCTGTCCCTAGTGTCCCCTGTCCCCTCCATCCCCAGGGTCCTGGAGTGTCCCCAACACCATCCCCAGAGCCCCCCTGTCCCCTCCATCCCCAGGGTCCCAGAGTGTCCCTGACCCCATCCCCAGTGCCCCCCTATCCCCTCCATCCCCAGGGTCCCGGAGTGTCCCTGTCCCTGTCCCCAGTGCCCCATGTCCCCAGCATCATCCCCAGTGCCCCCTGTCCCCTCCATTCCCAGGGCCATAGGGGGTCCCCAACCTCATCTCTGTGCCCTCCTATCCCCTCCATCACCAAGGTCCCAGAGTGTCCCTGACCCTGTCCCCAGTGTCCCCTGTCCCCTCCATACCCAGGGCCATGGGGGGTCCCTGAGCCTGTCCCCAGTGCCCCCATGTCCCCTTCATCCCCAGTGCCCCCTGTCCCCTCCATCCCCAGGGTCCTGGAGCATCCCCAACCTCATCTCTGTGCCCCCTGTCCCCTCCATCCCTGGGGTCTTGGACCATCCTGCCCCCATCCCCAGTGTCCCTGTGTCCCCCCCATCCCCAGAGCATCCCTGACTTCGTTGCCGTGTCCCCTCCATCCCCAGTGCCCCCTGTCCCCTCCATCCCCAGGGCCATGGGGGGTCCCCAACCTCATCTCTGTGCCCTCCTGTCCCCTCCATCGCCAAGGTTCCAGAGTGTCCCTGACCACATCCCCAGTGCCCCCTGTTCCCTCCATCCCCAGGGTCCCAGAGTGTCCCTGACCCTGTCCCCAGTGTCCCTTGTCTCCTCCATCGCCAGGGTCCTGGAGTGACCCTGACCCCATCCCCAGTGCCCCCATGTCCCCTCCATCCCCAGGGTCCCAGAGTGTCCCTTACCCTTCCCCAGTGCCCCCATGTCCCCTCC